CTGTACTTTTTCCAATTCCAAAATACTCTTTTTTCGTCCTGTGACCAGTACGGCACCCAGTATTCAAGGTGTGGGAGCACCATGGGTTTACGTTATTACATTATATTATGATATTTTCTGTCTCATTATCTAGCCCTTTCCTAATGATTCTATTCCGTTAGGTTTTTTGACTGCCGCTGCACATTGAGCAGTTTTCAGAGAATTATCCACAGTGACTCCAAGATCTTTCTTGAGTGGTAACAGCTCATTTAGACCCCATCATTTTGTATGCAGAGTCAGGATTATGCTTTCCAATGTGCATTACTTTGCATTTGTCAACACTGAATTTCATTGGCTACTTTGTTCTCAGTCACCCAGTTTAGCGAGATCCCTTGGTAACAATTTGCAGTCAGCTTCGGATTTAACTATCTTGAGTAGTTTTGTATCCTCTGCAAATTTTGCCACCTCGCTGTTTACCTCCTTTTCCAGATCATTTATGAATAAGACTGGCCCCAGTACAGACCCCTGGGGAACACCACTATTTACCTCTCTCGGTTCTGAAAACTGATCATTGATTCCTACCCTTTGTTTCCTGTCTTTTAACAAGTCACACATCCATGAGAGGACTATCCCTCTTATCATCAAGTGGGTGTGTTTCTAGTGGGTCCCACAGGGATCAGCCCTTGGCCCTACACTATTTAACATTTTTATCAGTGACCTAGAAGAAAACATAAAATCGTCGCTGATAAAGTTTGCAGATGGCACGAAGATGGGGGGAGTGGGAAATAACGAAGAGGACCGGGCACTGACACAGAGCAATCTGGACTGCTTCGGAAGCTGGGCACAAGCAAAACAATGTGTATTTCAATACAACCAAATGTGAAGTCCTATCTGAGAACAAAGGGTGTCAGCCATACTCACGGGTGGGGAAACAGGGACTCTGACAGGCACTAGGAGGTCATGGTGGATAATCAGCTGAACGTGAGCTCCCAGTGCAATGCTGCGGCCAAAAGAGCTAATGCCACGCTGGGCTGCGTGAACAAGGGAACACTGAGTAGCAGAGAGGTGATTTTCCCCTCTGGATTTGGCACTGGGGTGGTTGCGGCTGGAATTCGGTGCCCAGTTCTGGTGCCCACAATTCAAGAAGGATGTGGATAAATTGGAGAGGGGTCAGAGAAGAGCCACGAGAATGATCAGAGGGTTAGAAAACCTGCCCAGACTCCAGGATCTCAGTCTATTTCGCTGAACAAAGAGCAGGTTCAGTGGTGACTTGACCCCCGTCTACAAGTAGTTGGGGAGCAAGTATTTAATAAGGGGCTCGTCAGTCCAGCCGAGAAAGGTCTAACCTGATCTAATGGCTGGAAATTGAAGCTAGACAAATTCAGAGTGTTGAAAGTTTGTGCCTGATTTTCAGGACATTAGCCATGGGAACCTCTTCCCAAGGGCTGTGGTGGAGTCTCC